ATGATCTTTATGACCCTGCTGCTATAGAACCCATGATACTTATCCATGCATCGCTCGTGCAACCAATCGCGGCCAACACTGGAGGTCGGTTAAATGAACAAACAAATACCACCCGTGAGGCCATCATATGGCCTTACTACGTACCCGTCACGTTCGCAGGAACATAAACCTACCTATAGTCTTGCGTATATATGTTGGCTACTTGTATGAAAACATCAAAAACGTTTGTTGATTTTTTCCTTCTACGTTGTGCTGGCTAGCCGAACAACCTCCCGTGGTGCCAGCTGGGTGGTTCGGGTAAATCCCGTTCCAACAAACGGTTCGGCGGCAGTGTTCCAAGATGTGGTGGGATTTCGCCTGGCAAGCGTTCTCCCTATAAAAAACCACAAGTATCCGTTTAACAACACTGTGACGTGGCGGATGTGACTCGCCACTAAATAAAGTCACTGCCTCTTCTCTTTTCCGGAGGATCCTTCACACATCACGAACGTCATCCGATTCAAAGCGTTCCATTGATTCCCCCCTTTGATGGCGAACACAACGAAAATGGCACACACAGTCACATTTACCTACTCACGCAACATGTCCCCTTCCAAACACACAGTTAAACATAGTTCTACATCTCAACACACACATAAATTCCTATGCTATTGGACAAAATGTACTAATTTGTACAATTGCCGATCATACATGTCTGTACTAACATGATCACGCCCTTGATGGTGTGCCTCGCAATGACGAGAATAAACTATTTATTTATTTATTTAGGCTTCCTATAACTTCCGTATATACTGGGTGTGATAAATTTACCTTGGTATTATTCATAAAACGGTATAAGCTTATTAATGAAATGCGTAACTTACTTACTTTACTCCTGACACCTTGATATGCACCATTACAGATACCGGTTAAACCATGAAAACTGACAGCCACATACTCATTTGTTTACTCATTTACGTACGGATAAGGTCATTTATATCACTGTTATGAAAAGAATGTATACGTTGGTCCACTGAGGTCTAGTTGCGGGGATTTGCATTAAGTAATCATAGTGGGGACTATAAAGTGCCCCCTTAAATGGCATAGAACTGATGATCAGTGTTGCCGTAATACGCGTACAAATATATCTTTATATAAGGATATAAGCGTGGATAGATTGGAGGATCAGTACAATTTCTAATCACTTTAAAGTTGCAAAATTAGGATTGTTTATATTTGTAATTAAATATATGCATTCGCTTTCAGACAGCATTATGTATACATAAATGTACGCCTTATTAACCCATATCCATATCCATATATATATATGGGATTGAGGTTAATAATGCGTACATTAATGTGCACATAATGCAGTCTGGAAGCGAATGCATATATTTAATTACAAATATATGCATTCTAATTTTGCAACTTTATAATTATATATATGTAAGGTTTTATCAACCATCTATGTCCCCTATGAAAGCTCATTCCGCCGTTGTGAGCATTTACCCACCACATATTGACCAGGGACCGACACGCATTTTCGTTTCTCCTTCACTTTAGATCACTTAATTTACTTCACCCCAGGCATTCATACATGCAACTACGCTTTCGCGTTACTTTTCCTTTATAAATACGCATTCCGGAACAAGTCCCATATGTAAATAGGTATGCGCATATCGCATGGTTATTCGCCTATTCGTGCCACATCCGTTTACCCCGTTATTTACGTATTATTCTCACAGCCATATCCGTTCTTGACCATCTATTTCTAGAAGTACGCTAACGATTCTGCCCAGTCGTTTCCCAAAAAAGAAATCACATAGGAGCATGTGGAGTAAGAAAATACCCATTTCCCTTTCAATTTAAGTGCATCACTCTTCGTATACACCCTTAAAGTGGCTATTCTTCATTTTCTGACTAGCCGAGTGCACTATTTACTTATCCAATAACGATGGTCCAATTTAGACTCATTTATGCAATGGGAAACTCCGGGCACCTGCTACCAAGGTTACAGTAAACTATGGTACCATAAAAGCCACAGAACCCCGATTCCTTTATACATCCGCTACTTGTTTATTTATAGTATTTGCAAACTATTTAACTACACCTCAGTATCCTACGCTACCATTATACTCCCGGCTGTGCCGGTTGTTCTTGGCCCGCAAACCCGTTCCCGCCAGATGTGAGAGTCCTGGTCCCGTATCAACCACCGAGATTTCGCAACGCATCCCAGCAGCCTTGGTACGCATTGCCTGTTAGTCAGCACGCCATATGTTTGGAAATGGCTTAGCAATGCTCTGGTGACGCCGGGTCAGACTACACCTGAACGACAAACAAACATGATCACTAGCACCTAAGGGAGAGCCGTAAGTGTTGTCCCCTACGAAGTCTAGTGACTTGGCAAACACTAGGTCCAAAATAGACGGGAGTTGGGCGTCCATGTACCTAGTGGAGTGGGCCACGAACTGATACAATGGTACTTGTAGCGTAAGATCAAGTAGGTCTGCCCCGAAAGGACCTTCTGCCGAGTTGCAAGATAGATCCGCCCAGCAAACTTCTGGTAGATTGAAATCCCCCAGTATCAAACACCTGTTTGCGGATTGGGAGCGAATAAAGTCAAGCACCAAACACTTCCAGGGCTTCTATACACAAGTACGACTGTAAGTTGAGCTGAGGAAGTGTTAATCACTACCGACAGCGCTTCGACAGTTTTATCTGCCGTCTGAAACATGTAGGTGCGTGAAACGTCAAGTTCACACCTAACGTAAAGCGTAACGCCCCCGCCTTGTCGGCCAACGAAGCGAGCACATCTAAATAGTGCGTAGCCAGGCAGATGTACTTCACCGTCCGTGATGTCTTGAAACAACCACGTTTCAGTGAATGCAAGTATATCGAGATGAGACCCATCTATAAGCAGACCTATCTCGCACATCTTATTCCCTAGGCTCTGCACATTGCTTGGCACTATCTTAAACATAAATATAAATATAGGTATATTTCTAGACAAGCGCTAGATGCTGTTCCTGCGTGGAATCCGATCAAATTGTACATAACATCCCTGCTAGCACATGAAGTCCTCTTCTCGGTCGTCAACGTCCTTCAAACGTCTTTCAAAGTCCTTCAGTAATATATGTGTGGCTACTTGATCTACTCCGTATTCCAGCAAGGGGTGCACATATATGTGTAGGTTACGTTAACTAAAATATAAGCATAACATTGGTTAGTTGCTTCATTCTGTCAAAAAATCCTATTTGATTTCTTGAAAAGAGTCATCGACCCACCTTTTGAATTTTGCCGCGCCCTTAAATTTTACTTTGCCTCTGGCACTGCTCCGTTTGGTTGTCAATTCTGCTTCGCCGTGGTGGACTTCTATTTTTCGTTGTGCATTTTCGATCGCGGAGAAAAAGTTTGAGTTGGTAGTAAGCCATTTCGACGTGAGTTAGATATAAGAAGCACTATATGTGTTTTCATTGCAGTATTGCAAAAATGAACTTTTCAGCTTTATTTCATTTCTCAAGCTTTGTCCTTGGTTTGCCCTAGCTGCTATCGCCCAACGCACAGTTTGCGCATTGTTATCTTCACTTGCGCAATTACTTGTACTCTACGTAGATAGCTTCATTGTGAGCTTCTTTTCTATTTTGCGGGGCGCATTCGCTTAGTAATATCGGTTACATTATTGCACGACGTTTCGGTGTTTCTATTAATCAAGATCTTTTTGTATGTACGTCGCCATCCTCAACATAACCTTTGATGTTCAGCATTATTAATGTGACCTCGGTGTACAAACCGACAAATGCCCGCGCGGGATCCGTATTTGCGCGCAAAAGCATGCCTCGGACAAATTGAGCAAAGAGATTGTCCTGTGGAGGTTACGGAAAATGAGATCCTAACGCCTAAAAATGTGAACCATTACCACATACCGGTAATTTATAATCTCACTATGTTATTGCTGGTTACCTCATATAAGAAAAAACAGGGCGTTTGTGCACCAATAACATACAGGTACACCGAAGTCCGTAGACTGCCGATGACTTTTAGCCCCTCCAGGAAGCGCATGGTCCCCACAGCCGTTCTCTATGGCCCTCTGGCTATCTTCTCTTTGACTGAGTTGGCCCGTTCGATGGGTAAAACCCACTTCAGTCGTCTTCCCAGCAATACAACATGGGCAGATACAAACCAGCTTATACAGGTAAGGGATACATTTTTCTTAATATTAAACTTCAGCGTACAATACTGCATCTCACTGTGAAAAAAATTCGAACGAACGGATTAGGAAAACGGATTCCGATTGGTGCTTACACTTTGTAGCTTGAGTGTCCTAGTCCTAGAGTCTACCTGACTCCTCCTTCATCACCGTTCCTACAAGCGATTGGAGTGGCATTCACCGTAAGCATGTACTTGAGGTTTTACCATTTTCTTGCAGGCGATATGAACCAACTGAAGAATAAACTGGAGTTCATAGATGGTAACTTCCTACATTCCTAAAACGGTATACATTTTCAGGTAATGTTCAGTATCTACCTAATAGGCTGTTGAGAATACATACATTTGAAGACACTGGAGTATGTGAAGAGTTACATGAGATCGATGGCTGCAAACATTGCCGGGCAAAAAGGGCAGCAGGCAACGCCGCTTCCTTCGCAAATTACATCGATGGAGGAACTACAGTCATTTGTTATACTAATGCAGGATGCATTCAACAATTGGTAAGCTTCCTTGATACCTCACGTATGCATGCAGTCTAAACTGAAAGGTGTGCATGGAGACACGTTGTCGGAGACTGTACGCCTCATGATGCAGCGTCTTCTAACACGGTCATTGATGGCGGAGATCAATTACTCCTGTCTCCGCAACAAACACGGATTCCGGAAGAGGAAGCTATTCACCGAAGTGCAAGGTAAGCAAAATCTTTGCCCTTTCATTCCTGTCGTAGCTGCTCTATTAAAACGTTTCTCCGGAAGTATTGTGTCACCTGATGATGGTGTCAGGAAATACTTGAAATCGATTCGTGGCAACGCATGGCGCGACACTACCAAAGGTTGTGCAAGCAGCCAGCAGGTATGAAATGGTGGATTACTTATGAACATTTCTTAAATAAGGTTTTCCAATTCGTGGACTTGGAGCGCCCATGAGACAGCATGGAAGAAGCGTAACCGATTCAAACGGAACATGGACCTCTGTTGTCAATGTTGATATCCTTCCATTTAATGTATCCACTACTATGCGAAGGTAAACGGACTTCTTACTGTTAAAAAATCGGATTCCATTCCCGCTCTCTTTGTGCTTATTGGGAATGAAATGCTAAGGCATCACTGTGAGTAGTGGGACTGGACGCTGTGCGCCGTGTTAAACATGGTTTCCTTCATTCAGTAGCAGCAGGATGTTACGCCGCAGGAGAAAAGAGGTCATATGGGCGATCGGCTGTGACTCGCACATTTACTTTGCATTAGTAAGCAGTAGTAATACCTGCGTTACATATTATTATTAACGGGAAACGCAGGTGGGGATTTGAGATCCCCTTCCAGCGGTGTGCGAGCTTGGGTGGGTAGCCAATACGTGGGGTGTACAGGGGCTGCAGCTAGGTGCGGCGTATAGGGGTTGCGGCTAGGTGCGGCGTACAGGGGTACCGGCTAGGTGCGTGCGTAGCGTCGTGGTGCGTGCACGGCCATTGGTCCACGCCGTCCAAGGTCAACCGTCAATGACCATTCATACTCCGCCAGTCTGTCTGTCATTCACTGTTTAACCTAGGTTTCTGATTGGACATGGTGCAAAGTCCTTCACTGTGTACTTAATACAGCTGCAGTGGAAGGGCAAATTTCGCCTTCAAAAAGGTCGCAAAAGTCCTTAACCATGGATTCAGGTTTATAGTTGACGGCTAAGGACTTTACCACCCTTTTTCGCCTTCATAGTCCTTTTTGTGCTAGCAGGGATCCATGCTCATGCATGGAGAAGAAATATCGTTAATAACTGCTTTTGATCGTGTTTATCTTTCCGAACAGTTAAGCAGGGATAAATACAAACGTTTCGTAGGCAGGGAAATTTTTGAAGTTTGGGTCTCCGTAGCTTATGTACGAATTCTGCGCTTTTCACCGGCTACCGCTGTCAAACCTTGAGGTGCCTGATTCAATTAGTAAACCATCAATCTATTATGCCAATGGATTGTGATATTTTCGATGGAAAATGCCTCACTAGTGGAAATTTGATCCGTTTTCCTTGGTCACATCACCGCATTTCGAGCATCCATTAGTAGCGGGCTCATGGAAAAGAATAAGCAAGCCAAAATTAGATCGTAAACGTGGCAGGTGGAAATAAGGGAAATAACAGTAGTGGCTAACAATTCAGCCTTTCTTAGAAAAGTGCGACTGGAAGGCCGGCCCACTTAACTAGAAAATACACTAATATTGAAAAATGGAACCAAAATATATCCTAGAAACTGCATACCAGAACCGCAAACCTGGCGCGAATTTCAAAGTGTTAATCTCCCAACAGCGGAATCAACTCCCTGAGCCGTGCGCTACCAGTACTGGCACTGGTAGGGCGTAAACAGACCGCCGGCTGACCACCCGAAAACTCACCAACCGGAGACCTTGTTCACCGGCCGCTCGCCTAGTTTTGAGGTCCTTAATGGCCTCTTTTAGCTTCAGCCTATCCGCTAATGGGAGGTCTGGCTGAACACTAACATTAGTACCCTGCAATTTGAATGCAAACCGCAACAGCGCGTTGCGTTCCTCCGGGGTAGATAGGACTACCCGAAGTAAGCGCGGTCGAGGGTTTGGGGCGCTAACTGGGACGTTACCCAATCTAGTCATTTTGGTGACAGTAACACCAGGAAACCCAGGTGGAAGAAGTTTGGTTACGCACATCTTAAACCACTGTAGGTCGTCTAATGTACGTTCGGCAGGAAGTGCAGCAGTGGATTCCACTGCGTTACGGAATATCACGCTGCTATCCATGAAAGCATCACCTCGACGGGGTGTATTTACCCCACAGGTTTTGGAATTTACATGAACAGCAACCGGCTTAGCCGCGGGAAACGAGACTGGGCGCAAGTTATCAGACGAGGTTGAAGCAACTGTAGCGTACGACTTAGGCTCCAGCTTGTTTGCCCCGTCATTCTTGACGCTTTTCGAACCTGCCTGAAGAGTACGGGCAGTTCTGTTCCGATTTCTCTTTCGTCCTGCAGGCGAAAAAGCCCGTGGCTCAACGTCCATGCCTGCCTCCACGACCTGTGCCCCTGGAAGACAAGATGTGTTTGGAGTAGGCGCCGCAGTTTGAGTAGCACTCGATGTAGACATCTGGGGTTTTTTACCCCCTGCCTGCACAATCTTAGGTGAAACTGAGGGATTCGCATCACCTGGTGGTGTTTCCCGCTCAGGTGGTTGCACCTTGAGCGTCTTCACACCTCTCGGTTTGGGTGCGGAGGATTTGCGCACTGTTCTTGCCCTCTTTCGCCCATTCTTTTCCTGCCCAGGAGCCCGTGACTCGCCCTCCGTTTGTGGAGGGTCAACAATGCCAACCGAGGCTACATTTTTATGCCATCATAATGAGATGCGACGGAGTGATTTATGCGGAGGTTACTGCGTAAGTATGTACAGGAAATGGCATTTGCTAAGATTATTTATTAATTATGTTCGCACTGTTTTAAATGAGGTTAACTGAAGGAGGTCTGATTGATACTCGAGCGCCATGTTGGATGACGCCGCTGTTTTTTGCCGTATGGTTTGCGCTCGTTATGAAAACTGGCAGGATGTGAAGGAAGTGATTCGCAACTTTCAATTTGCAACTGCCAGTAGTTTTTCAAATGTTGTACGGATACTTGGAAGAAGCATTTGAAGAGAAGTGGTGAGAAGACCGCCCCAAGCTTTCCGTAGCGGTATGTACAATTTCAGTGCATACGTTCTACACGCGAAGAAGCATTTGAGAAGCGGTACGTAACATATGTATATGTTGCATAACTAAATCCTTGATTTCACAGATTTCGTGCTTGCGGCTGCCTTGCGCTGTTCTCATTCAGTTTGCAAGGACAGCCGTATGAGCGTAGCAACTTTAACCTGGAGCACACACATAGTTTTCAAGTTGGTCAGCCGTGGTTGTATCCCAGCAACCGACGTTCAACTGCCGAGCAAGTGTCGGAGGTCTGTTCCTTAATGGACACATTTAAAGGAAGCCGTGAAATAAGGACCCATGTGTGGCGGACTTACGGCCGGCGGATGACGAAGGCGAATTTGTGGTACATGAGGCGGCGGCGCATGCGTAACACTGAAGGAGAGGTTTTACAAGTGGTTCGTTTTTTGGAGCAGCATGGGAAGTGCCGGGTGCAAAGGAATAGTGATCAAATAAGGTCCGTGTATTTTGCGCCTTCATGCATGGAAGGCTTGGTGCAGCGTTACTGTAAGGTGCTGTTGACGGATGCGACGCACCAAATCAACTGCGGGGGTATATTCTGTGGCGCTGCATGTTCGTGGACGCGACTGTTGTTGCGATGCCTTTTTTATACGCTTTAATGCCGAATGAGACGTCGGAGAGTTAGAAGGAAGCTGTGAAGGCGATGCTGGGTATGGTTCCTGCCACATCAATTGCAAGGAAGGTGGTGATGGATAAATGTGCCGGTCAAGTGGGTGCGTTTCAATCTGTGTACCCCCAGGCGCATGTGGTATTGTGTCGATTTCATGCGGTGCGAGACATGGCTAGACGTTGTTCAAACCTGCATGACGCGTCCCCGGAGGAAAGGACAGTTTTGCGTCCGTGGTTGCATAAAACGCTATACACCAGAGATGAGAACCACTTCGTAAAACTGCTGCACGCCACAGAATTTTGGAATGCGGAGTGCCATGATTACTTATTGCGCACATGGTTACCGTTCTCCTCATCATGGTCGGCGCATAGGTTGCGATCAGTGTGTACCTTCTGTTGTTTCACGACAAACAGGGTGGAAAACGAAAACCGGCAGCTTAAGCGCCAACTTAATGAACGGCCCTCCGTACTTCAGCTGTTCACTGTGGTGCTTGATCGTGTGCATCGGGTTATGGAAGAGAGGCGGACAAAGTTAGCGAGATTGCAGTTGAGCCCTTATGTTCCTCCGGTAAACCTTTGCCGGCTCACCGGCGTACTGGTACATTTGACGCCCTACTCGCGGGAGCAGTTAATGAGGCACTTGTCAGCGGAGGACATAATCGGATGCCATCCTGAGGGTACGGCTGTTGCGGGTGCGTGCAGGCGGCGTGTGGGTAACCATATTTTCTTGGTACGTCGTGACGGATGCGACGGTGAGTTCCAGAATCACTGGCGGATGCCGTGTGCGCACCTGTGCTACGTGGCTTGCGATCAGCGTGCGGATTTGGCGGTTTTGGTTCGGGGTTGTCGGTGGTGCATACCTGATTCTCCGGAACCGGTAGCTGCCGTTAAGTTCACGGAGGATACAGAGTTAGGCGCGTCGGAAATGGCAACCACTTCACAAGCTTTTGTTTTGGATCGAGCGACGAAATTGCGTACGGCGGAGGAGGTGTTAACGGAATTGACGACACACATGTGCACGATGTCGGTGGCTAATTTGCAGGGTATGCTCAGCCATCTGAGACGTTTCCGAGAGGTCTTAATGCATGAAATGGGTGTGCAACTTTTCTGCAAGACCAGGCCCTGCGCTTCCTCCTTACCTTTGGATAACGATGAGAGCATTTTGTCGTTGGTTGTTAAACGGGGGACATCGTTCGTGGTTCAAGGTCTTCCTGTCTGGTTTAACGTGCCGGATAACGCAGCACCAGAGAAGCGATGCTGCTCCAACACACCTTCATGAAGGCGCAAGTCCCCTTTGGTACTTCGACGGATGGAGGTGTCACTTGCGGATACTTTGCTGCGCAGTGCACATTTCCGACCTGTGAGGACTAAAACCTCCTGCGTGTACAAGTGCGCTTCCATGAAGCGCGATGCTTTATCTGCACCGGGGGTGGTTGAGGGAGAAAAATGCGCCATATGCCTGCGTTCAGAGGACACAGGGCCACAGAGACACAGTGGATTGGGTGATGTGTGACCACTGCGATCGTTGGTTTCACCAATCCTGCAGTGATTATGATGGTGGCGAAGGTTTAATACGTTTGTTCTGTATGGATTAACG